ATCCTCCAGATTAGCATTAACAACACGTTCATTATTCACTACACAGAGTGAACACATTACATGCACATCTTCATTGTCTAATACAGCCGATCGTAAGCCCTATATTGTGTATTTGGTTGCTTAGTAACGACGCATTGTTATGCGTCATCACGTCCCTCACGTGGTGTTTCAGTCTCACTTCCGGGTTTCGGACGGCTATCGTTCTCACTGCACACCTTATTGGTAAGTTCTTATTATTATGTTTCTATATAAACTCACTGTATACACGATATTTTTGATCTTGAAAAAGACCCTTGTATGGGTCGAAACGTTGATCATCATCAAATTGTGGCATTAATAATTTGCACGCTGGAATAAACTTATCACGCATTTAAGAAGACCTGTGAGTGCACCTTGTTTATATTTTTTATATATATCAACGCCAGAGGTGGGCACCCAGGCAAGAATATTTTGACAGTTCACAAAGGGTGAGTGCCAAGTTTACATTTTTGTTTTATATATATATATATATAAATATATATATATATATATAAATATAAATATATACAATAAATATATAAATAATTAAACAACGCAAAGTGGAATGGGTGCTGGAATACCTTGATGTGCATGGTGTGTAGGGTGCGAAGAAAGGAGGCCCAAGATCGGGTGCTCCGAGGGAGGCAAGGAGGAGGCCAGTGCAGCATCGTCATATTGTTATGGGGTGTAAGGCCAGGTAAGATAAGAGTGATATATTACCGTATGTGTTGACATTCTGGGATGTTGCCTAGATTGCTACAAATATGATATATCTAAAGGGCATATTTGATAGGGGGGCTTTAACTCAGCTCATCTCCCTCTCTCTTATCTCTTGTCTTTTATGTTTATCTCTTTTTACTCCCTTTCCATTCCCCCTTTGGTTTGTGTGTTATGAGAGGTACACGTTGCAGTGCATTCTCCCAGGAGGGAAGTGCAACTGGGCACGACACTGAACTTGTCTAAGCTCTAATACTCTAATACACTGTATTGGACTAAGATGTTGAACGATGATACCGTATGAACGGCTACACTTTAGTGTTGCAGAACACACCAGAGCAAAGCAGTGAAAAGTAAATAAATATAATAATACATGTTGGTGTCAATACCAGTGGGTTCATGTGAAAGTATTGCAGTATCTCTATGTCATGTGTAATGTTTTGTTAGCCATTAAAACCTTCAATAAAAATTATACATGGAAAAAAATAAAACAGAATTAATTGGACCCCCGAACTCTCCATCTTTGTAAATGCTGCTCCAGGGTTTTAGCTAATCTATTTTTTTCTAGTGTCTCAGAAGCTGAATAACTATTGATAAACAAATGTTTTTATTTTACAGAAGTGTGTTTGAGTCTGGAAATAATACCAAATAAAAAAATATATAATTAGTCAATGTTCTCCAATCTTATCTGACATTGTGCAAAATCTCCAAGAACACTACATCATAAACTAACAAAACATGTTAATGACAATGTATATGGTACAATACCACACCCTTCAGGCACTGATCATATCTACAAAAAGAAGCGTTAGAAGCTGAATTCCTCCCATCCAACCCGTTAGCTACCAGCACACAACTCTCCCCAATCAGAGCCACTTTGTATGTGTAGTACATCATAACAGTTCCATTACAACACTCCTCTTCCAGTTTCCTGGAGGAAACCCTCTGGTGAATGGCCACTCCTTAGTTATCGTACCCATATTAAGATCGCACAGGGCTTAAAGCCATCTGCTTCTTTATATAACATTGAACTCCCACTATTAGAGGTCTCTGTTTCAGGAAAATGTCATTCAATCAATGCAATTTAATGAATTGGTCCGTATGAAAGCAGACTTTGTAAGTCCACAGGTATAGTCCATACAGGGGAAAAAGCTAAACAAAGGCATCTCAACCGAATACCCCTTAGTAATCTTAAGATAGAAAAAGAGGATGGACAAAGGGTCTAAGCATGTGACAGGCAAGAGATGCAATAGAGAAGAGGAAAAAGGGGACATCGTTGAATTAAGCTAGTGAGATGAGGGAGAATTCAGAGAAATGCTTTGGGAGGAAGAAAGCAGGTAAGATATTATAGAAATAAAGAAGAAGATAAAAGAACATAAAGATAAGAGGATGCATTAGGAGAAGCTAGAAGAGACACCAGAATGGGCAATATTGGGATTGGAGACTGTGGGTATATAAGAAAATATCTAAAGTAGAATACAGATCAGAAAGTGATGTAAAAAGAGGATGGACTGAGGAAGGTAGTTTAACCCCTTAAGGACACATGACATGTGTGACATGTCATTATTCCTTTTTATTCAAGAAGTTTGGTCCTTAAGGGGTTAAAAAAATACTAATTGTACTATCCATATATATATATATAAACATGTGGAAAAAAAATAGGTGCATAATATTATACCACTTTTGGGTGCCTCCCCTGGTTAAGGTTGGTGGGGCTATCATTTTCTTGACCACTTTTGCCCCCACTTTTCCCCCCAGTGGACTTCCTCAGTGAATATAATAAAACCATAAAGCAAACACCCTTAGGTGAAAATGCAGCTTACCTCTCCCCTCCCAAATGTCCTTTAAATAGGGCTTATCCCTCAAGTCATTGATGGTTCTGTTGGAGTGCTGTCTTCTTTCTTTGTTTTCCATTTAGGATGCTCTTTCGGTCCACACCTTCTTGCACAGCCAAACTCAAAATACCTAATATATTAGTTCATCAATCTTCTAGGAACACTGATATGCATTCCAGTGTAATCTTCTTTTGTGTTCATCCAAAGTTCCTGTACTCGCAATCATGTGATCGCTAATATACGTTTTTTGTGCATTCCAGTCGCCATGATATTGCAGATCCTTGCAATATAATGTTAAACAATATATAAGCATGTTATATACAGCAACATACATATACATGCAAAATATATGCATATGTATCAAAAAAATTATAAATAATAATAACCACAAAAAATACTGAAAAAGACAAAAAAAATAAATGTGAAAATAATATGTATAAGAAATAAATGATAAATAAAAAAATTAAAATTGAAAACAAAAATAGATTAATGATCATATAAAAAAATGAGATTAAAAAAATAAATGAGTAAAAATTTTAAATAAATAATAAAAAACAGAAAATAAAAAATGAATAAAAAGAAATAAAAATTTAAAAATAATATAATAAAAATTATAGTGCACATAAAATCCATATATCTTGTATTCCCAAGTCCTGCCTCTTTCCACAACAAATCTCTTCGGAGAAAAAGAGAAATTCATGTTACATAAAAAATATTATTCAAAATAATTTAGAGAAAGCATTTTACATCAATATTTATGTTTGACCCCCTCGGCTCCAGTGTACCCAAACTGTGTATCCAGCATGTTTCCCTCTGGGACAGCTGTCTGATCCTGCCTTCCCTCCTCCAGCGGACATGCACATGTTCTAAACTTATGCATCTGAAACCTTTCCAGCTAAAGGAAGAACACAGGTTGCAATGCGCATGAACTGAATGGGTGGTCAAACTTTTTCTAATAATTTTGTAAATATTGAAGTTTTAAATAGAAGAATAAATTTATGCTCAGTAGCAATTTTGTAAAAAATTAAGTTTTCAATAGAAGAATTAATTTATGCTCTGACCAAAATCAATGTACTTGTTTAATTACTGATGCTATATTTTGTATTTTTTATTTAGATTTTATATTTTCTACATCTATAAACCACCATTTTAATAATATTGGGTGTATTTCTTGCATAGGCATATATCTTTATGTATTTTTATCTTTCCCACTTCTACTACTATTGTAATTTAGATCTTACTATTGTATATTTCTTATTTTTTTATGTGATTCTGAGTCTTCAATCAGAAGTTATTCTCTGTCAGATAAGAG